ATAGGGCCACTGCTTTGAGTGACCATTTCGTTTTCTAATCAGCAGACATAGTGCTGCTAGGAGCTGATGTTCCTTTCTCCTTTAGGCAGCTTCGAGAAGGCTTTACAGCCAGATTTCCGCCACCTTTGGCCAAGGAGTAGGGCTTCACTGGGATGCATTTTTGTAGCTTCCGTCTATGTTTTCTTTGGTTTTGCTTGAAGATACTTATTTATTGGTCCCTTCTTGCTTCCACTTTATGTTCCCACCCTATTTTATGTGCCCTACTGTGTGTATCCTAGATTTGCTCTGGGAACAGAATTTTTAAAAAATCAAGTGGAATGTTATTTTCTCTGCTTGTCAAGCTGTGAGATCTTAGCGGAGTCACTTGTCTGAGCCCCACATTTAGCTTCTTCATCTGTAAAACAGGGAAACAGACATCTTGCGGAGACATGGCAAAGTGGGAGCAAGCGTTAATATCTTTGGAATGAACTGCTGCTTCTACCCAGGGTGTAGAGTGGAAAAATACTGGAATTTTGTATTTTTGCCTTATTCAGAGTGCTAGATCCTATTTTCTCAAAGTCATGTTCTAGAAAATACTTGTGAAGCACTCATCTGTGGCTGCTAAATGTTATAGAAACTTGTATATTAGTTCATCGAATAGGTACTTAGGAGATGCCTTCTAGGTGCCCATCAATAGGAGGGCGAGTGGGGTATATGCCCAGGGGTATAGATGTGGGCAGATGGCTGGCTGAGGGCCAGGTAAACGAGTAGCCCTGGCTCCCCAGTCTAATCGCTGTGGTTATATAAACAGGTGTTTGCTGAATGAAGTCTTGCCAGAGTACTCTGAGTTATTTCCAAGTTATGGATTGAGGATGTTCAGGCACATAAGGCCCCTGCTTTCCTGTAACTTATATTGAGGCGAGAGTAAAAACAAGTGAAGATAAACATCACAAAGTTGTACCCCTCCAATGGGTGAACTTCATGGCGTAAAGGTGTTAATGAAAAAATTGTGTCTCCATCCAGCTGGCACTCAGATTTGCCCCAGTCCAGTGGCCCCTCCTTCTTCAGGAATTCATATCTGCCGGTATACTCCAGCGCTCGAATTTAGTTGTATCCTCCAAAATCAGCGCTTGCAGTCACTTGCGGGTGTGAACGGTATATTGGAAGATCCAAGTCTTCCGCTATCCTGTGCCTCAGCTCCTGCTGCAGTCAGTTTAGCGCCATGCTCTTTGCATGTTTGTTGATGATTGTTCTGTTTAAAATGCCCCTCCAATGTGGTGTGGAAGTCCTACAAAGTGTTCCTAAGCAGAAGGCTGTGCTGTGCCGCCCTGAGCCCTCCTCAAGCAGGAAGCTGTCAGCCATGCCTTCACTGGTCCTAACATACATTAACTGTAGCATCCCCAAACAAGAACAAGGTTATACATTGATAGATTGGTGCACAGTTGTGCCCGGAGGCTTACAGGAACTTAACTCCTGACCTGCCCTGGGAGCAACGATGCCCTTATTCAGTGTCCACAAGGACAGCACACAACAGAACTAATGTGAATAACAAGGGCTGCCTATACGTGCAGGAGAAGGCAGGTATGCACACACAGCCCGAGGGCCAAATGGCCACCTTTCTTCAAAAAGACCTTCTTTCAGTAGGCAGGCCGGCGGACTCTGCAGTTACATGCACGCTTAGAGCATGCCTGTTTTACTTGGCTGAGCTTTCAGTGTTTAACATGAGCTGGAACCCTATGGGAAGCAGTCATGAAAAGCTCAAGTATGCATAGGGGAGATTTCATTAGATAAGCACTCATTGATATGTTGGCAAAATAAGTGCAAGGTTGACCTATACCTTTTGCATCTGACTGTACTTTGAATACTTTCATGTACATTGAACATATTTGTGCCTTGGCTTATGTGTTACTGCAACAGCCATCTGATGAACAGTGCTTGATAAGTCACTTAAATAATATTTAGTAAGTTGCAGCTCTTAAATTTTTTTTTTTTTTTTTTTTTTTTTGCTTCCTTTGGTCACGTTGTATAGCACATATACCATCCAAGTATGACGCTAAAATAAAATAAATCCCACATTGGGTAAATGCATTGGAAAACACTCTGGGAGGAAAGCAAAGAAGTGGAGTGAATATTAGGTTCTTTCTTTGTGTATTTCTGAATCATGTCCGCTTCTTAAAGTATGTGTTTTCTTTTGAAGTTAAAAAGTTACTTAAAAATTAACTTTAATAGACTCTATAAAGGATACACAAAAGTTTCCCAGACAGACTGGTCAGAGAAGCTTCCTTAGGCAGGGCGATGAGGACAGTCTCTGCAGAAGGGGCCAGACTCAGTTGCACAACAGAATACCCTGGGGAGCGTCATGATAGGCTGGTGCCCTGCAGGGTCAGGTTTAATTGGCTGGGGGTGACCTGGGCCTAGAGAGTTTATGCCCTAGGGATTCGAATGTGTAGCCTGAGGTGAACATTAGTGCTCAACACATTGAATAATAATGTATCTTAGAAATGGACTCTGGCCAACTTAAAGATGTTCTCTGGGTGTTCAGTGTGGTTAATGGGGGCTCCAGAGGTAAAGCCGTGGGAACATGGAAGCGAAATCGGGGTAGGTACAAGATTGTGGCCTATGCCGCCTCCATTCTCACCCAAGATTCAGAGCCCAGAAGAGGGTGTCCAATTGGCTGATCTGTTCTGAGGAAGGGTCTCATCCCTCTGTCTGTCCAGAAGAAAGGGGTCACCAGAGCATCTCCTCACTCACAGTGGGGGGAGGTGTTTCTCAGGAAGCCCCTGCACTGTTGGTTAATGGGGAAGAATGCTGGACAGCAGACTCTCACAGCAGTGCACTGCACTCTGTGGCCTGAAAACCCTGTTGTTTCCTGAAGGAGGCAAAATGAGTTTGTGCCTAGCGCGTGGAATAGTGTTCGGTAAATGTTTCTTCTGCCCTGCCTTTCCCTGCCCCTTCGCCCATGGCTTCTAGCTCTCTGTGGTCCTCCATTGCAGGGTTCGTAACCTAAGCTGACCAGTTAGGTGGCTGTCACAGATGACCATGGGTGGGGGGTTCAGGCAAGAGAGACCACCATGGTTGGAGTCCCAGGATGGGGTGGGCTTCATATGGAGGTGTGGCTCAGGCAGCTCAGTATTTGCTCTGTGCTGACAGCGAGGGCCGCGGGAGGCAGCTCCCACTCCTGAGCGCAGACGGCCACAGTTGATGAAGCAGCACGGGCTCAGCTTTGGTTTTCCTCTTGTTCAGTGAGCAGTTCCTGAGCACTTATGGTATGCACCTGGGTTGATCACTTGACAGCGAATGAAAATACAAGACAGACACACAGCCCCTCAGGGGAGTGCCCACCCAGGAGAACAGCGGACAGGCATGTAGATGTGAGGAGGCCGCAGGCACGATCAGCGCCTCAGCAGGAGAGACCAGACACAGTGGGGAAGGGCTCCTCTGAGAGGCTTGCCATTGAGCTGGACGGTGAAGGGAGATTCTCGGCAGTTGAGGGTGTTTTCTGGAAAGAGTAGCCTACAGAAAGAGGGGCCAAAACCCTCAGAAAAAAAGGAGTGAGTAGCATATTTTGAAAGAAACAAAGTCCTTCTAATTTAAAGAAATACAGGCAGTTGCACTGGAAGGAGTTTAGAAACACACTGAAAAAGACCTTGAGGACCAAAGTCTCGGTGAGCCGGATTTGAGACGGACATAGGGAGACCTGCCTTTTTGCTTGGGGCTTGGTGTTTTCCACAGCCCTTGCTCATCCCTTGTCTAATTAGACTTTGCCCCCATGAGCTTGAGAGAACACTTCTCAGGCAACAGCACTGTAGATGAGAGGGCTCGTGGGTGGCTGTGTACAGAGCAAAGGATACCTGCAGGGCCACGGGTCTGTTGGTGGGTAGTTGTGCGTCGGCGACTAGAGTAGCTGAGGACAGTGACCTCTCTGGTGTGTCCACAATCCCAGGGACCTGTTTCCAGGCTGCTTTTACCACACACACTGGGTGTCCTGCATGTCCACTGTGCAGCCCTCAAACTTGGTGTAGATGAGAACCAGAAAGTCTATTGATGAGGTTGTTCCAGAGGGCTCTGCTCCAGGCCTAGACTGGGCCTCCCCCTCACCTGGCCTCTGCTCATGTTCTGGAAACAGTGTGGGTGTGGCTCTCAGTTCCAGCTGTGTTTCAGAAACATCTGGGGAGCTTTAAAAAACACTCACTGTTTTTTTTTAACACTGCCAGTGCCACCCAGACGAATTGGGGGCACTATACAAATGCCTGATTTTACTGGCAGAGAAACTGAGGCACAAGGGGTCTGATTTCCTGCTCCTGGTTACACAGCTGGCAAAAGGCAGAGGCAGCATTTGAACCCAGACAGTTGTTTCTTGAGTCCAAGGAAGCCTCTCCACATTTTGTAATTGCTCACCTGCAAGCCTGACGATCAGAGACTGAGTTGGCTGTTAAGAACCAGGTGCCCCCTTTTTTCTCCTTTTTTCACAAAGCAGCTAAGGTTTTACAGGCAGCTTTCAAAATAAGCAAACCAAGTGTGGGTGTCTTGCCTCCTGGCCCAGAGTAGAGTAGATGAGAAACTAGCAGCTGGAATTCTCTGTTTCTGAAACTCAGGTTTAGACTTTCAGGGTTGCTATCCAGTGTGCAGCTAGCCTGCCTGCTACGGAGACTGTTGTGTTCTTGTCTTCTGTCAGCTTCTGCCTGCACAGTGCTGGGTACCTGGGTCAGACTTCATGAGCACTTGAGTCAATGTGGGGGTGGTTGAATGGAGGTGTGTGCCCAACAGGTGAGCTCTCAGCTGGCCACACAGGTGGCTGCATCCATCCGCAGTGGCTGTAAGTCCAGAAACCTTCCAGGACCCAGGGTTGTTCTGTTTGTTTTCAGTGGCGGTGTGGGGATGGATATCATTACTGGAAAGTGGGACAAAAACTGGTGTTAATGCTGCTTTCGGTAGAACTGCCCAGGGCTGGCAGCAGCTCCACTCGTTTCTTTTGATGTGACTGAGAAGCTAAATTGGAACTTTTTTCTTTTATTTTGCAGGTCACTGCCAAGACTGCCTTCTTATTTATTTTACCTCAGTATAACGTTAGCGTGCCTACAGCAGGTAAGGAGAGCACTCATCTCTGTCATCCCTGGCGCTATTAACTAGGAAAGACTGGAACACTCTCTCTTCCTGTGTATATGTTCGATCTTTTTCGTTACGTAATCTCAGCACCCAGCATCCTGCCACTGTTAAGGTGTATGCTGTTAACACTGGGAACCATGTCGAGCCTGGTTCAGGGTTCTGCAACTTGGGGGTTCTCGAGTTACATCTCCAGGACGGGCATTCCTCTATCTCTGTGGCGAAGTGCTGGCGGCCTGCTTGTGTTGAGTCTGGGCCTCTGCTCTTCATGCTATAGTAGAGGTGAATTGTCTGGGCTGTAGGGCGAGATTCCTGCCTTTGCCTAGCTCTACCATCTGGAGGCAGCTCCTGTGGAGGAAATAGCCCTGAGTCTTTTCAAGACCCATCTGTTCCTGGCAGTCCCTGTAGCCAGGCTCTGGGGGATGTCATTCTTTTGGGGCAGCCAACTGAGTTCCCTCATCTGGGGCCCAAACTGAGGGACACTTCCAAGGGAGGAGGACAACTCTGTGAATGGAGGGACAGGCAAGTCTGAGCCTGTTCCCCTCAGCAGCCCTGGGGACACTGTGGCTTGCCTTGCTCAGTGCCACGCAGTTGAAGGTTAAATTCTGCCTTCTCTACCCCCAGCTCTTGAAACTCTTTGTAACTAAGATGTTACAAAACTCAGCTGCACTTGGGATTTACAGATTTAAATTCATTTTAAAATTTTGGTAAGGTGCACATGCATAAAAGTTGCCAGCTTCACCATTTTAAATGTATGGTGTACATGTGTTTTGGGGGAGCACTAAATACATTCCCATCATGCTGACATCGCTGTTCTTCTCCAGAGTCTTCAGCTTGTAGAATTGAAACTCTGCCTTGAAACACTCATGCCCCCTCCGCTAGCAACCACCATTCCACTCTCTGTCTCTGAGATGGGCTGCTATGCTGGAACCCCATAAATGGAGTTACACAACATTTGTCTTTTTGCAACTGATTCACGTTTATTTTTAAGTAAACATTCCTCAGAATATTTAGTTGGCATATGATTACCAGAAGAAATTTATAAAATCAGAGGAAATTTATAAAAGAAAGGTAAATGTAAGGAGAAAAAAAATTGCACCCAGCAAGAACTGCCACTAACATTTTGGACTTTTCTTGACCTACTGTTTTTGTTTTTAGTATGTGATGAACCTTTTTTTCCATGCCATTAACTGCTCCATTCAAAGACATTTGAAAAACTGTAGCATATGTTTGAGTAGGGATTATCAAAATTTACTTATTCAACACATAATTTAATTCCCCAGGTTTTATTGTGCTACAATAAACATTTTTGTAACAAAATTTTTACAGGCATTCATGCTTATTTTCTTAGGATAAATTCCTATTACTGGAGTTTCTGAGTCAAGTAGCATATACACTTAAAAGATTTTATATGTGTACTGCCAAAATACCCTCAGCCATCTTAATTCTTATGACCCATAAATCCTAAATAAAAAATATATATATAATGCACATTCTTTTCTTAAATGTCAGAGTGCCAATTATTAATTTATAAAGTGATGTCTAACTGTCAGTTGTTATGTTGCTATTTCCATTACATTTCTCCCTAAGGCCTATTGATGTAGGATGCCAGATCATTATCCAGCTTTGCTTTATTAATTTCAGTGAGTAGTGTTGTCCCAGATACCACAGTAGTTGATGAGCATGAGGCCAGGTGTATCTTCATGGTAGGAAGGACTTGTAAAATGAGGTCATCATCAGGAGATTGATTTTTGAGAAGTTTCCCAGAGAAGTCAGCAGACAAGCAAGATCCTAAAAACTTCCACCTCAGGGTCAGCAGGGAAGCTGACTTCATCCTCCATGGCCGACTTGACTTGGACTCCCCTCCCATCATGCCTTGGTGACTCACACTGTTCATCATATCACCTTCATTTGTTTGTTTTGAGTAATTAATCAATTGGTCAATTCAGACAAATACTTGTTGGTGCACTGTGCATCAGGCCGCAGGTGTAAGGTAATTTCTAAAATGCATCTGAGCTGACCACATAGCAAGTGAATGGTAACACATGGAGCTTGCCATTTATGAAGGAAGGTTAGAGAGTAAACAAGTAAACAATAAATAATTATACTGGTGGTAAAGAGAAGAGAACAAGGCTATGCAATATAAGAAAGTTTAATGGGTTGATAGAGATGTTGGAGAAGCTGATGTTTGAGTTCAGCTGCCGTGGGAGGTTGTGTTGGGGCTATGGAGAGGGATTCTGGCCAAAAGAAAGAACAATGTAGGCAGAGGGAAAGCTCTCAAGTGAGAACCAAATACTGGCATCTTCTGGTAACTGAACGCCTGACCAGTGTGAGTGGAGCTGCTAGGATTGGCACTTTTCTAGGGTGGAGCTATTGAGCCCTTCTCCTCCTTGCTGAAACAAGGCCAGAATAAAGGTGAGATACATTATATTCCATACTAAATCAGGAGGTTTGAGTTACTTTAGAAAGAGAAGATAAAGTATGGTTAAGTAGCCTATCTTGTCTTTAAATCTTGCCAATCGGGGCTATTTGAAATAGACTAGCAAATGGCCAAGAGAGACAATGAAATGAAAATAGCCTGCTTAATTTTGTTTTGAGCACCTGAATCGCCAGCCTAGTACAGTAGTGTTTGGTTTGTGAGCACGGAGGAAAGCCAAGCTGTCATGGGGGAAAACAGTTCACAGTAATGGGTCTGTTGAGGTTGAAATTTTTTAAGTGAAACCCTCTCCCAGATCTCTTTTAAGGCTGGAGGTGCTTCAGAATCTGCCCTCTTTGTATAACTTGATTGCCAAGCTTGCTTTTTCAATAGCATGTAAATTTCTCAACTTGGTCTCTAAGATTTAAACTTTAATAGAGCAGTTTGCTGTTCATACAAGCCACCTACCATTTGTGAATTCCTGTGTCTTCCCCCGGCAGAGTTCTATGGAGAATAACTTGTGGTAGCATTGGTGAGTCCCCTACTTTCTTCTTTTTGCTCTCTCTCTAACCCTTCTTCCCAGCTCCTAACATTTTTTATAGAGTTATGGCATTAAAAGTACCATAATCTGGCCCTCCCTGGTGGTGCAGTGGGTTAAAGCACAGCACTGAGAATCTAAAGCCATTTCCCCATGAGTTCGATCCCCGCCTGCCCCAGAGGTGACCACATGGCGTGGCAGACCTCTCCTCACCCGCCCGCTGCTCCCCTCAGCAGTGTACTTCGTGGATCTGCCTGTTCTGCTCCCCACTCTGTCTCTGGTGAAGCCTCTCACACAACAGAAATTTATTGCCTCACAATCAGGAGAGTCCAGATGAAGGTGTCCACAGGGCTGTCCCCTCCGCCAGCTGTATGGGGGGGGGGGCAGTAGGCCTCAGTTCTTCTGCTGCCTGGCTGGTGACCAGGGATCACTTGTTTTCACACTGCGCCAGTCAGCCTGTGTCAAAGCCTCTCCTTTTTGATAAAGACTTCAATCCTGTTGGAGTAGGGGCCCCTTCTACTCTACTGTGACCTCTTCTTGCATCTGCAAAGGCCCTTTTTTCCAAATAAGGTCATATTCTGAGGTGTGGGGGTTATAGAAGTTCAACATGTGGATTTGCAGAGACAGTTTGACTCAACGCTCACAGTAAATGTTTTGCTTTTGTCACATTCTGAGGTGCTTATTAAGAAAATAAAGCTCCATGAGAGATGAACTGGAAGAGGAGTTGTGCATCCTAGTGGCGGCCTTCCAGGCTGGCAGCCTTGTGGTTTTCTTTAAGGTCAACAGTGATAAAGCAGGAAATGTTCCCTGTTAGCAAATCCCCACTCTCCCTGTTCCCGCTTGCTACCTTGTTAGGGTTGCCGGGTGTAGCAAATAAAAAAATCCATGACCACCAGTTAACTTTGAATTTTAGCTAAACTTGAGGTATATTCCAAAGTATGCTTGAGATATAATTGTACCAGAAAATTATTCTTTGTGTCTCTGAAATGCACGTTTAACTGGCCATCCTATATTTTATCTGGCAACCATACACCCTGCCCAGTTCTGGCAAAGAGTAAAATGTCAGGTTTCTGGTCTTACCACTAGACACTGTGTGTCTTCTTTCTGATTAAAACACCATAAAATATCTGGTTATTATGGCCAGAAATATAGAGACACTAAAAGGTCAGAAAAGAATAGAGGTTTGATTCTTTTCACAAGCAGATGGAACGCCTGTGGGCTTCCCTTCTGACCCATAACCAGTGACCCCTAATGGGCTAAGCATTTCAAGGTTGTTTTGAGTGGTGCCACTAATTTGTGGAATTGCCAGGGCAAACCACTTAACCCTCATCTGCAAAGCTGAGAGGGATGGCCCCTCCTGAAGACAGGCATGCCTCAGATTGTCATAGACAATCTGTCCCCTCCAGCACCCCCCACAGGCCTACTGCATTAGAACCTGCTTTCAACAAGATCCTCAGGTGATTCTGGGGCCCATTAAAGGCTTTAAGTGCCCGATGACCTTGAGTTCCTAATCTCAAAGGAAAGAGAGAAACTCACTAAATCCAGTGACTCATCTGCCACCAATTTCTATTCTCTTCCCATTTTGGTTTTTCTGTACCTCTTTGACCTGGGGGGGTGGGGGGGTGGAGGAGAGAGAATTGCGTGGCTGGCGGCTGCAGCTCCCTAGGAATTCACAAACACACTTGTAAGGCAGTTCAGAGAGGGTGGGAGTTGTAGGGGTGACACTCATTCCTTAGGGATCACATACCAAAAAAAAAAAAAAAATCTAAATTCACAGCTTTAAAAAAAAAACACTTAGGTAGAAATAAGAATGTCACAAGACCATTGCTGAATTAGAGACAAATTTTCAGTAAGAACAATTGCATATGAAAAAAAAAATATCTTTTCTAGTTAGGAGGAAAATGAGTGTGGAGTGTGGAGGAGTGAAAATGGAGGGTGGGGTCTGGGTCTGAGGGTACATGGGGAGAAAGGGAAGAACAGGACAGAGTTCCCCAGGAGACAGTGCCATGGGACCACAGGGCTCAGATG